CACACCCTTGTCCTGCAAGCAGCGGTTGTAGAGAAAGGGATGAGAGGTGCTTGGGAAATGGGGGAGGAAATCCATCTGATGGACACTAAACCTGATTTGAAGCTTTGCCTCAGCCTCCTTTCCCAGCCTATAGTTAGGTCATTACACTAGAGCTGCTAGCTCTGCCGGGAGGAAGAGAGACATCTCTGGCTTCTGCAAATGAGATAATTGGTTGTGTCTCAATTTCAGTAACTCAGAAACACCTTTTGAGCTTTGCTTTGTCCACTCCAGAAAGATTTTATCACTTCCCATTGCAAACCCTTTTTCTGTTGGCAATAACATTGACACACGTAAGACAAAAAGCACCAGGACTCCATTCATTCCAGGGACTACACTATGCCTCCTACATTACACCAAGGAAAGAAAAATGAGTGCATTTATTTGTAACAGAGACATAACTCCCATATTTCCTCCAACAGCCTTGTGTTCTGCTTTTTGAAAAGATCACAAATGGCTTGAAAGTAAAAATATCATGAGAAAGGAAACATTCAAGGTTAAAAAGGATGAAAGCCCTTCTGAAGTGTACAGCATATACCACAGAACACTTGGGCAGTGAGTCTGCCTCTGAGATTTTCAGTTTCTAATGCAATAAGCAATGTAGTTGGGGACTGTAATATTTTCATTTACTAACTGCAGAAATGTCTATCTTTAAAGATGAATTTTTCTCTTAGAATGAAATCTTTTGAAAAACTACCATTAAGCATCGTGTGTGAAAGCTGAGGGATACTCTGAATTATTAGAGTATAAGTAAGGAGATAGCTTCTTTGCTCAGAAAGATAAAACTATGCACAGTAAGTAAGTTAAAATTAAAAAGCCACCCTCGATGAACCCCATACTCTGCAGTACAGAGGAATGCAGCCAAGCAGCTTAGCTTCACTCAGCAACAATCACCTGTGGTGCCTTTAGGATGAGCTGGGCCCTGTGAGATCGACATGCTCTGAGAAAGGTAAGCCACCAAGGACATAGTCCTAAAGGGAACATCAGAGTTCTAGATGCTTCTTTCATCTTCCCTTGCTTCCTAGATAATTTGAGTTGAGCAGACCTTCTGTACTAAATACTACCACAATTATGTACTGGGCCACATACTGAAGCCATGAGCCAAAACAAACCTTTTCCCATATTAACTTGATTATCTTTTATGTTTTCTTATAGTAATTCAAATCTATAGTAATTCAAGTTCAAATCTTATAGAAATTCAAATTTCTGCTCTTCCATTGATGTTTAAATTTGACCATTTTTTTTTGATTAGCCCTTTCTGAATCCCTGGATGTGCACAATAAATGTTTGAAAAAGTAATGGAAGTCATATATTTCTCTGATTTAGTCTGTGTGTGTATGTGCATGTGTGTGTGTGTGTGTGTGTGTGTGTGTGTGTGTGTGTGTGTAGAATAATTTCTGCAAATGCATGAGACTTGAAGTCAGTAGATTGCATACTTGTGTTGAGTTGGGGATTACAACCATGTATGTATATATACATACAAGGGTAATGGGGAAAACCTTGTTAGTGAATTATCTTTAAGAGGCGGAGCACAGGTAAGGCATGGTTTTCTGGGACCTGAGGAAAAACCTGTGCACCACCCATGTGCTCTCTCTTTATGCCATTCCCCACGGGACACTGCTATGCTTGGATTTCTCATTTCCTGTTTCGTGAGTTTTCCCCCATAATAAATAAATATATAACTGTTGTGTTCTTTAGCTAGCCTGGTTATTTCAACATAAAGAGTCAGAGCACAGCACTGAATGTTGTCAATCAGATATTTTTGGGGAGGACAGGGCCTCTTACTGATCTAGCCCTCTCCAGCTGTGAGACACTGCCTGTCTGCCCAACGTGCAGCTTCGGCTTTCTCTTCATAGGATCACAAATAGATCTATGAGGATCCTCTTGCCAAGAACCCAACTTGTAGAAGGAGGCAGTGAGCAGGCCTGCTTTTCATCCTGCCCAGCTCGCGCACGGCTAGCTTTCCACCTGAAATAACAACACACAAATTGTATTCTTTTAATAAAACTGCCTGTCTCATTATATCTAGCCTCTTCTTGGCTAACTCTCACATCTTGACAAACCCATTTCTAATAATCTATGTAGCACCACGAGGTGGTGGCTTACCGGGAAAGATTCAGCATGTCTGACCTGGCAGCAGGCTCCATGGCATCTGACCCAGAGAAGAGAGGCATGACAATTGCCTCACTTCCCTCTTCCTCCCAGCATTCTGTTCTGTTTACTTCACCCACCTAAGGGCTGGTCTATCAAAATGGCCAAGGCAGTTTCTTTATTAACCAACGAAATCAACACAAAACAGAAGACCCTCCCACATCCCCAACTTAACACACTGCCTGTTTTCAGCAACTTTTCTCGAAGTGTGAACCTCTGTGTCTCTATAACTCTTTAACTGTAAAGCCAACAAAATGTAGCCAATGCTTCCAAATCCTGTTGCAAACTAGAAATGTACTCTTGTTCTTTCTCTACCAAAGCTACAGTGGCCATGTATCTCAATGACTGCACCTGGGAAAGCACCTTGGAACGAATGTCTTCTAGTCAGGAATCCCTTCAGTGGCACTGAAGTTCATTGTCTCACCTTTCAAATAAATTCACATTTTTAGATACTTTTCATATTTTTTGTTCCACACCATCTGGTAGAGCACACAAGGGGGCTAGTCCTATAGACCCAAAGCTACAGGATCTCCATAGAAGAGGGAAATTTTATTTAAAAAAATTATAAATATTTATAAAATAACAAAAAAGGGAATTAGTGATATACTTACCATTTGAATGATGGATGGATCATATAGCAGAACACTGTTTATTAATGAAATGCAACCTATAGATTTACAGAAAGGTATGAATTAATCTCAAACTATCATACCAAAGAAAAACATTATTACAGATAGAACACAAATTGAGTGGTTCTATTGGTAGGCCTTTCTGGCATGCTCATAATTAGTTATTAGAAAACTTCAAAACATCTTCTATTTCTACAGTATATTAGAATATGATTAACCTAAATGAGGTATGAAAAAGTGCTGTGGGGTGTTGAAGTATCTTAGACTGAAAATATGCCAAGTATGTAATTATAGTCTTATCAAATGCTCACTTAAGATTTCTGCATTCATTGTATGCTTTACAATAGAAGAAAATTTGTAACAATAGAAGTTAAAGTATATATTTGCATTTTCTTAAGGGTTGTGATATTTGATACTTAACATCTTTTCCTCAAGTAATTCCTAAGAACTTAGCAACAGGTGAACTTCTAAATTTTTAATTGAACCTCATTTTTATTTATGTCTTCAGTAAATTTTGATAACTTTTAGACTTTCTAAAGGTAATCAGGGTTCTGATTTCAGGCAGAAATATTAAATCTAACAAATGCCTAACAGAAAATATCCAGAAAATATGGGACACCATGAAAAGACCAAACCTAAAAATAATAGGGATAGAAGAAGGAGAAGTCCAACTCAAAAGAACAGAAAAGATATTTAACAAAATCATAGAAGAAAACTTTCCCAACCTAATGAAAGATATGCATATGAAGATACAAGAAGCTTAGAGGAAAACTTGAGGAAATGGGATAGTCAAGATGGAGGAAGGATAGAGATGAAAGCAAGGAAAGAGATATCTTTATTGAGGGAGCCATTATGGGGTTAGCAAGAAACCTGGCTCTAGAGAAATTCCCAGTAATTCACAAGGATGACCTCAGCTAAGACCCTAAGCAATAGCCAAGAGGAGACGTAAACTGGCCTTGACGTGTAGTCAGACTGATGAATATCTTAAATATCACCATAGAATCTTCATCCAGCAACTGATGGGAACAGTGGCACCAGGATTTATCCCTATTGCTTATACTAGCTTTTTGGAAACTTATTTTCTTTGATGGATACCTTGCCTAAGCTAGATATAGTAGGGAGCGCCTTGGACCTTCCCCAAAGCAATGCGCCTTACCCTCTGGTAGATGGGGGTAGAGTGGGGGGAGTATGTGGATGGGATGGGAGGAAGGGAGAGAGTGGAAACTTGGATTAATATGTATAATGAAAAAGCTAGTTTGTCTTCTTATTTAAAAAAAAATTAAAAAAGAAGTTTAAAGAAGACCAAAGAGACTGGATTTAAAAAAGTCTCTTTGCCACATAATAATCAAAACATTAAACATACAGAATAAAAAAAGAACATTAGAACCTATAAAAGGAAAAAGCGAAGTAACATATAAAGGCATACCTATCAGGATTACACCTGACTTCTCAATGGAAACAATGAAAATAAGAAAGTTTTAGTCAAGCCTTATGCAGACATTAAGATACCACAAATGCCAGCCTAGACTACTATACACAGAAAAAAATTTCAATCACCATAGAAGGACAAAACAAGATATCCCATGACAGAACCTGAGTTAACCAATACCTAGTCATACACAAATTACTGGAAAGAAAGCTCCCACTCAAGAAAGGTGGCTACATCCACACACACAAAAAAAAAAAAAAAAAAAAAAAAAGAAAGAAAGAAAGGAAGAAAGAAAGAAAGAAAGAAAGAAAGAAAAAGACAATAGATGATCTCACAGCAGCAAATCTCAAAGAAGGAAAAAATACAGACAATAGCAAAACCAACAACAAAAATTAAAATAACAAGAACTAGCAATCACTGATCACTAATATTCTCTAATATAAATGGACTCAACCCACCTATAAAAAGACACAGGCTAATAAATTTGATATGAAAACAGAATCCATCCTTCTGCTGCATACAAGAAACACACCTCAACCTCAAAAACAGACATCACCTCAGAGTAAAGAGTAGGGAAAAGGTTTTCCAATCAAATGGACCTAAGAAACAAGTTGGTGTAGCTATGCTAATAGCTAACATAACAGACTTCAAACTGAAATCAATCGAAAGAGACAAAAAGGGCATTTCATTTTAGTCATAGGAAAAATTCATCAAAAGAAAATCTCAATATTGAAAGTGTATGCCACAAGCCTTACGCCGTCTCTGGGCGCCAGGGTCTGCACGGGAAGATGGCAGAGGTTGGGTCCAAGTCGGTGTTGTTCGTGTGTCTCGGTAACATTTGCCGGTCACCCATTGCAGAAGCAGTTTTCAGGAAACTGGTAACTGATGAGAATGTTTCAGCTAATTGGAGGATAGACAGTGCGGCCACATCCACCTATGAAGTGGGGAACCCCCCTGACTATCGTGGGCAGAACTGCATGAGAAAACATGGCATCCCCATGAATCACACTGCACGGCAGATTACAAAAGAAGACTTTGCCACATTCGATTATATACTATGTATGGATGAAAGCAATCTGAGAGATTTGAATAGAAAAAGTAATCAAGTTAAAAACTGCAAAGCTAAAATTGAGCTACTTGGGAGCTATGATCCACAGAAACAACTCATTATTGAAGATCCCTATTATGGCAATGACTCTGACTTCGAAGTGGTGTACCAGCAATGCCTCAGGTGCTGCAATGCTTTCCTGGAGAAGACTCACTAGGTGGTCCTGCCACCACCATTGAGCAGCTCACTCACCAGAGCCA